AATTATAACAATAATACTTATTCGCTATCTCGAAAAAAACATGATTACCTATTTTTAAAAATAAATTCGTCACATGTTTTTCTTTGACATGCATCTAAATTTCCATTTCTATCTTTGATTCAAATCTTTATTATTTATATTGTTTACACATTTATTTCATCTTCCTCTCTTTGACTTAAATGTAGAAATTACACAAAGATAATTTCATACTATATCAACAAATAATAAACAATGACGCAGGGTCTTATAATCCCTTTATGTATATTTATAACGTATCCGCAGAAAATTGGTTGTTTTAAATGCCACAAAAAGAAAATAGGCTACAACATTACTATTAGATCGCAGTGAAATTACAGGGGTCAATTTCAGCCATTTCAATTTCGAATTATTTAGTATATTATCAAACCTATAATGATGTTAGCTGGTAGAAAAATCTTAGCCGGCTAAAAATTTGAATAAATCCTAGTAGTGAAAAAACTTTTCAGATGGTACTAAGCTTGCCTGTATTATTATTACTATTTATAGTTATTATTTTATTACTATAATTATTATTACTATTATTTATTATTGTTATTATAATATCTCGTCTTTAATGGTTCGAATAAAACAAATAATTCGAATAGAACGAATAATTAAATAGAACGAATAATTCGAATATGACGAATAATTCAATAGTACGAATAGAAACTCTATGATTTTTATCATGCTATGATGTATTGTGTTTTTGTTTTTTGAGCAAATGTATATTTTTTTGTCATTCTAAGTAATGCAGGTGAACACATCTGAACTAAAATTCCAGATGTAAAATGAATGTCAAGAGAAATTTTTTTGGCCGGCCAAGCTGTTTAAAAATTCCTTAACCGGATAATATCACTATAAAATCAGCTCTATAATATCAACCAAAGGTTGACAAAATAATTAATCTAATAGAGTCTAGAAAAACGCAAACCAACTGGTGACCAAAAATATTTAACAGAAATTGAAGTCGTAGGAGGATTTCAAACACTTATTTGATAAAAAACAGATTTGAATCCAAATTTTTCATTTTGTGAATGGCATACGATGCAAAAAACTTCTATCAATAAAAAACAAATCCTATAAAAGGAAAACAATAGAAGCATCCAAGAATGGGCCAATTAAAAAAATAAAAAAATGAAGAGGATAACATATAGGATGAAATAAAAAGGTGATACTAGAAAAGCACGGGTGCAGGGATCCGCAAAATTCACCTGTGCTTTTTCTAGAAGGTAATGTAATAATATATAATGATCAAACATCATAATATTAATATACACAGATAAACTCGATAAGTCGGATTCAGACAAAATTTCCAACCCTTTTTTTTTTATATTTATATAAACTCTTGTTAAGCTATAAGTCGTACAACTCCTCCAGCCAGATAATAGTACAGCTCGAGTCATCTAATACCAACCAATTTTGCGTGGCATTTTTGAAGCCTAACACGTGGACACACAGAGCACTTTTGGATTCAAACTCTTTATAGTTTTATATAGTAAATTCCAAAGAATAATTCTATGAAAAGTTTTGGGGTTGAACAATTATAATTAAAAAGTTATGGCAATTTTAATTGACCTGAATTTGACACATCGTAAATAATCGATAAAGGACCATTGCCATTTGTTCATTTCTTCTTATTGAGTATGCCATCACTTACAAAAAGGCAGAAACATTTAAAAAATTTGTCTCTAAGAAAAAAAAGATTTTTCGAAAGTTGTTCTTATAATAATGAGAATGAAAATGAAAATGAAAATGATAATGAAGATAATGAAGATAATGAACCAAGTAACAATAGTGATAATGAATCAATTAATGAAAATGATAATGAATCAAGTAACAAATCAATTAATGAAAGAAAGGGAAGAAGTAACTATATTTCAAGAAAAATCTGAAGAGTGGAATAGAATGGTCAAATTGCTCAAATTGAAGTTAAAGAAACTAAGAAATGACCTTTATTGAAAATAAGAAAATAATTTAAAGAATATTGAAATTCATTCCAACTATTAAAGAAAATGGTAGTTAAAGATTTTTGCTTTTTATTAGGTAATAATGCATCATCATGATGCTTTCTTTTTCCAACATTTATTATTTTCTTTCTTCTTGGTAAATCTCATAGGTAATCCTTTCATTCCTTAGATAAGCTTCCAGTGTCTGAGTATCATTTATTTTAAAAACATATGGAGCAATTTTCTCTCCTTGTTTCTTTTTTAAAATACTTCTAATGATGCTGTAATTCTTTGGTTCCATAGTAGTTCTGATGTAAATGAGTTTCATATTAACTATTTTTATAGAGGTAATTATATATATTAAGAGGAACAAATGGAAGATTTTAATAATCACATTATTAAATTTTGACCCCTGAAATTTTTGGTAACACCCCCACAAACACCTCCAACCACTTTAATATTACCGCAAATGTCATTTTCTCCAATTCCAAATACTACATCAACCACCACCACTTCCTCACCAAACACATTTTCTTCATCACCAAATAAACATTTTAATAATCCATCTTCAAATTCTCATCGTAAATCAATACTACCTTCGTCTATTTTATTACAAGTGAACGAAGCTGAAGAAGAAAGAGATGAAGTTTCAATTAGATCTGGAAATAGTCGAGTATCTTGTTGTAGTTACAATTCAACTTTAAGTTCGATGAGTGGAAATAGTGAAAATTCATTACTAACTTGGGAAACATTATTCATTGGAAATGAATCATTTGATAAAAATTCAAACAAATGTTCTGGGTTCGTGTTGACTTATTCTAATTAAATTTCAATAAAATAAGTAAATAAATAAATAAATAATTTAATTATTGTTATTATTTGATGATGATATAGAAGTCGTGGTAATGGAATGGCAATTGAAGATTTAATTCAAAGATTAACAATTGGTGGTCAATATGGAACAGATGGTATGAAGAAATAAAATTTTATTAAATTTTTCGAATGTGTGAATGTATTTATAAAATTATAATTATAAATTATAATATAGATGATCCGTTTATGGTAACGTTCTTTGTTTTTTATCGAAAATTTATGAGGCCAAGAGACGTATTATCAAGATTAATGCAAAAGTAGTGGTTTTGAATAAATATTTTTCGCAAATTATTGTTTATTTATTGATTTAATTTTAATAATATTAATATTTAACATCACTAATCAATAAATAATAGATTCCATGAGTGTGAAAAAGATATTAGAGATAATAGGAATACTACACATGAAAAGTAAGATTTTTTAAAATTCTCAATCTTTTTATTGGTTTCAATAAATATAAAATATAAATTTTTATTTTATAGAATTTGTAACATTTTGTATCATTGGATGACACAACATCCAAATGACTTGATACATCCACAAACAAGAAATATGTTACACGAATTTCTCAATATCATCACGAATTGCGCACATCTTTCCTATTATGCTATAATACTAGAACGTTTAGTAAATGGTACTGTACCTGAAGATGATCCTGATGATGTATGGGGATTATCTGATATCGACAACAACAATGGCAATCATGATCTTCTTTACAAAGATAAAACATCAGCATTATCAACCACAACAACATCAACAATGGCAACAGGTGGCCTAAAAACTAAAGCTTCAAATAGTGCTAAAAAAGATAGTGGATTTGGTGGATGGATATTTAACGGAGATCAAGAAGGTTATTTATCTGATATGGTAATAACTGATGAGAAGTCAGATGAATTACTATTATTGTCACTATCATCATTAATACAAGAAAAAGAACAAGAACAAAAAGTGATGCTATTATCATCATCACTACCATCATTATCAACATCATTACATGAATCAGATACCACAAGCAATAATAATAATAACAATAGTAATAATAATAGTAGTAGTAGTAATAATAATAATAATAATAA